GGTGTCCCCGAAATAAGTACAAGTACGAGTATTTTAACTAGCAGTCTAGTTCAACCCCAGAAACAAGCCTATGAGGTTTTTTTTTGCGAAAAAAATATTTTGAAAATTCCGTATTTTTTGAATAAAATTTTGGATTTTTTTTATTTTTTAGTAAAAAAATATAATTTGTTGATAATATGGCAACATAGGTAGTAGATTAAATTTACAAGAAGAAAAACCCAGAAAAGATCCAGTGGTTCTCAAAATTTTAGCAAAAAATAATTTTTTATTTTTTTCTATAGCGATAAAGAGAAAATATGTATCTTTTATCGAGATCTACCACCCCTTAAAATACTTGCACTTATTTCTGGGACACCCTGTATATATATCAACTTTGCAAGAGATATAAAGAAATATATCGCTCCAAGCTCCAAATGTTTACTCACAGCGAAAACTGGGCAGGTATCAGCTATAGTACTGAATAAAATCAGTATAAAAATACTCGAAATATTCTTATTCTACGTGTGTGAACGACATCGGAAAATATATGAAGTCGTCGGATATTTCGTTTATAGAATATATTACTCTTCTGTGCTCTCTTCCCCCAAGGCTTTGTATTAAAAATATGATTTACGCACATCCTATACCACCGCACCGCGCCGAAGATATTAAATATTCCATCTATGCAAACCAGCTCCACAGAGTAACCTTATATTATTTCTCACCCCGCCAGCGATTTTGAGAATTATCCCTCGGGTGGTTTGGGACCTTTCTACCCCCCTGGTATATGAAAGTAGTTCATAAATCACGATCAAATATTCAAATACAACTTTTGTATTGGCTTTTGTCTTCTATATCGGGGCGGTTTTTTTCCTGCCATTGGATTAATGGGGTTGTGTTTCTCACTGTCTAATGTCTGTCGGAATCAAGATATGATGTGTATGCGGCTTTAGAATTATTTATATTTTTCCATAGCAACTATTAAAATTGCCTTATATCTATCAAAAATAGTAGATAAAATAGTATTTCGCAAGGGTAGATTAAATGATACTTTAACAGCGAGGATACTTTAAAACCTTTACTTTTCTACAAACGTCAGTAAAAATTTAATTTTTAACGCATGCTGTCGGTGCCTAAAATGTGACATTATGTCACTGATGGTAAAAGTCATTTTAGCACTGGTGCTAAAAGTAAGTCACGTGATTTACTTTTTACACTGAAATGTTTGGAATATTTCAATTATTACCCTAGCAACCATAAACTTCAAAATACAAACGCGAAACGCGCGTCCAGTGTAAAAGTAAAAGTGTTTTGGTGTATTGTGGTGATTTAGTGTTGTATTTTGCTGTGTAACACCAAAGGTACCCCCACCCTCAACTGTAACCATAAACTTCATAATTGATTAGATTTCAGAATGACATATTATGAATATGAATTATTCATTAACGTAAGAAGTATTAATACCTTGATATATACGAGCATAAACTTGTTTGTAGAAAAAATAGTGTATGATATGTGTGCTAAAAGTGATTTTATTTTGAAAATTCCACACCTGTAATTTGTAACCAATCAAAACGTGTTTTTTTTTTTATAAATCACCATGGCAACGGATACATTTTAGTGAAAAATTTTTCCTTGTGGGTACCATAGATAAATGAAACAAGTTTAGATTGGAAAGTGCCCATAAGGACAATGTAAACACTATTTGGCGCTATTCTTGCAACGGTCGCGACCCAAAACTTTTGAAAATTTCGGAGCGGTTCGGCTTTTTCCGGAATTATATCGCCAAATATTGTTTATTCAAATTTATTATTACTTTCGTTTAATTTTATATATAAAATACAGTGTGTTGAATACAAGAAACCTTATTTTATATAAGGACGCATGTATGAAATACCTATGAAACATTGAAAACCGACGTTATGCCACGGTCCACGATGGTTTTTGCAGTTCACAGTTCACAGCACAGCGTTTTAAGTTTTTAATGCCACTTTTTCACAATTATCACCGGTTGGAGTAAATAAAACTTGAATTAAACTCACAAGATAGCAATAATTACTTTGAAAATGGACGCTATAAACACTTTCAAACAATTTCTTTAATGAGAGCGGTTTAGATTTTGAAAGATTATTATAATTTTTGAAGATTCTGACTTTGACAAGAGAAAATTATTTCTGTTTTTGTTTGCCGTTGTTCTTAGCGACCGCTATGGCAGCGCCAGATCGCGCATAACGGTCGCGACCCAAAATAATTTCGCGACCCGAAATTTTTACGGGCTTTCCAATCTAAACTTGTTGCATTTATCTATGGTGGTCAAACCAACAGCGAATTATACTGGAAATGTTTTGACGTTTATAATGACAGAATATCTTTTTGAGAGTCTGGTTTTTATTTGTTTACATGATAATTTTGATACATTTCAATTATACAAAGCTGAGATGAAAGTTTGTAAACTGCTTCCATACGCTTGACTTCGATTTCCTAGTATTCGCGGGTGTCAACTGCTTAATCTCCTGGCGAATATTTTCTTTGCTTTCATGACCGAAACGAAGCATTTTTTTAAGCCGTGCCGCTTGACAGCTTCAAAACTGAAATAGTTTTTAGGTTTGAGTGTCACTTAGTTATCATAGTAACTAAATAATCAATTCGACTAAAAATCGAAAAATACATTTTAATTATTTGGTTTTCAAACACAATTTGGTGTGGAATTTTCTTACCGAATACCACACGAGGTCAAATTAAATCCGGACGTTTTTTCTCGCTCATGAATATTTTTAGAAAATTATAATTTTCAAAATATTCATGAGCTCGAAAAAATTTCCGGAAATAATTTGACCTCTAGTGGTATTACTAGTGAATACCACTTTTAGCACTTATATCATAAATAACTATTCTTCTCGCACGTTTTTTAATTGCTTCCATTTTTGAAAATTTTTGTATTCCTTTTCATAAGTTATTCGGGATTTAAAGGGAAGTAGTTTGGATATGGCGTTTGTCGCCTTATCCTATAACGTAGCCTGAATATCTGTTAGTAATTTACTTATTTCGTTTTGAGCCATTTCTGGCTCCTATTCAATCAGTAATCGACTCGAAAGTGAATTAAAAAATATTGACTCAAAACCATAGATAAAAGAAAATAATCTTCTATTAAGATAGATATGAAACTTAATAGTAAAATTTTGGGTCAAAGCGCCCCTCCGTGTTCTTAGTAGAGACTGCGTTTAACTCAGCGCCTTCGCCTTTTCTGCTGTAAATATTTTTTATGTTTATATTTGATTTCAAAGGATTTAGTTTTAAAGTTACACTGATATATTAGCATATCAGAGTAACTTTAATAAAACATAAGAATATATATATTTTACAGTTTATTAAATATAAATTTTGACTACAAGGTAGAAAGTAAATTACAATATTTTATAAAACTTATAAGTATACCATTTTTACAGTTAATAAATAATAAAACTATTTCTGACTATGATATTTAAAATTTAGATAGATAGAATATTAAAGAACATACCGGGGGGTATTTGCAGACGCAGGCCTAAATTCAATAAAATCAAAATTTTTCCTGCGAAAATCGGGCTTTTTTCACAGAAAAGATATTTTTTGATTTATCAATAATTATTGTCAAGTTGACAATATACAGGGTGTTTTCTAATTAGTCTAAAATAATTGTGGTGTGATTCCTCATGTGTTCTTAAAACAATTTTTATATAACCATTGAGTCTAAAATACTTCCTTTCTGATCTACAGGGTGTTAAAAATGAAAAAAATCGATATTTTGCTTAAATTAAATGGTACACTACTGCTTTTTTAAAGAAAATATATTTTTTTCTTGACTGGCCATCCCTTTTCAACAAAATTGATCTTTTGAGTTTTTCTTGTTCATCAAACGGTTGCCGAGAAAAAAATAAATATACTTATTAAGAACCCGCCTTAAGCCATTTTCTAACGATTTTTTATTTTTTAGATTAATTAGGAAACACCCTGTATATGCATATAAAATAAACTGGCAACCAAATAAACTAGTAACCTCTAAAAAATATTTTTCCTACTACTAGAGACATACTGTGTTTTTAGTGAGTACTAAATTATTTTATCAAAATTTCACCATATAAGCACGATATAAGTTTCCAGGCAATGCTCAAAACTGACAACTAAAAAGACAGCTTTATTTTTTTGTCAAATTACATAGAAACCAACGCCAACCCAGTACAATATTTTTTCCACTCGTAATAAATTCCTTGAAATAATAGTTTCTGAATATTTTTTAAAACGTAACTCGCTATGGAAAGAAATATTGTTTTATACACGACGATAAAATTGCATTATCGTCTCCCGAATCCCCCCCCCCCTTCATAAAATACCATTTTATCGTCTTGTATAAAAAATAACTACTTTTCCATAGCAACTGTTAAAATTTCCTTATATCTATCAAAAATAGTAGATAAAATATTACTTTAACCGCAAGAGTAGATTAAATGCAAAAAAAGCAGTGCAAAGAAATTTCACGACATCTTCTGTGTTTAAATTTTTTGAATTTTTCGGTTTGTAACCGCTGCATGACTGCTTCAAGAAAGCTATGAGCTTGCTATATCTACAAAGTTTAGATGTTACTATACTACTTACGGAAATTTAAACGGTATAGCTTATCCTTACCTTGAAATATCAATGTTTTCATTGACCAGTATTGTACTTTTTAATATTGAATAGTACGACCACAAACTGGACGGCTGCATTTTCTTTAATTTTTCAGAAAAATATGCTGAAAGTATGTTTTCACTTGATCTTTCTTCTCGCACGTTTTTTAATTGCTTCCATTTTTGAAAATGTTGTATTGCTTTTCATAAGTTATTCGGCATTTAAATAGAAGTAGTTTGGATAAATATGACATTTGTCGCCTCTATATATCTATATATAAGGCTAAAATAATATTTAGGCCTTATATATAGATATTATATACAGCAACATTGCATATACGTATCCCTGTAATGCATTATCACAATGTTTCGTTGTTTCAGAGGGCGACGCTAGCCGAGAAGGAAGTAACAACTTTAAAAGAACAACTGTCCAGCAACAATGGGACAAGCAACTGCGAGAACAAAGACACGTCCAACATGGACAGGCAAAGTTTCGAATCCGAGATGGCTACCAAAGATAAGGAGGTAAGGGATGATAAAACTATTCGACAACGGCGTTAGAACACAATGAATTATCACGAAGTATATTTTCTTACGTTGGAAAATATTTAATAGTAAATAAAATTAAAATAAAGCTTCATTCACAATTAAAATTAATAAAATATAATTGTAATAAGTGTCCACCTTCTGATGAGAGAATAAAGCTTAATTGAAAATGTATATACTTAATAAAAATACTTAATAAAAATACAGCTACATATGTCAAAAAGAAAATGAGAAAAGAGTTTTATTAAAATAAACAAAACAAAGTAACACTCATAATTTAGTAAGTAAAAAAAATGCAATTCTTGTCACTCAAATTCAAAATAAAATTTAGCAAACACGGAAATATAATTTTTAGATATTGACGTTCTGCTTAGTATAAATATAAAATATGATCTTTGAAAGACAAAAGTGTCTAAAGTAGATTTTCGAGATTTTCGGGATCCCAGGATTTAATATCGGGATTTCGGCGATGAACATACACAGTTTGGAAACCCTACTTATGAGTAACCGTCACAGACACCGAATGGGTGAGACGATACGGCAACGTAACCCAAACGTGACGGACGTGTGTGAATGTACCTTTATTGTGTTAATAACCTTATAATGATTGCCTCTAACCTGATGGAGAAACACATTTTCTAATATCATCAAACATTTAGTTTACTAATTTTGCCATGACATGGCTTTTAACTCGAGCAAATAAGGGTTGGGCACACACGTGACGTTCATAATCACGGGGAGTAAATTAAAACAAGCTAAGCCTTTTCTCTATCATTTATTTCTATTACTTGTGAAAGTATGTCCAACGAGTTAGGGAAGATACCGGGCGCGTCTCAAAAGTGGCTCACCTCCTATAACTTTTTTATTTTTCCAGATAAAAGAAACGAGATTTGGTTTGTTAGTATATGACATAAATTAGAATTAATTGACGCATTCAATTGTTTTTGATATCTTCCTGTTTCACCGGAAATGACTACTTACAACTTTTGATTTTTAAATGAAACCCTCAGTATGTTTTTACTTTATTCGATAGAAAACGACACTCTGAATAGAATGATATATCATATGTCAACTTTTGGCATTTTCGGATATGGCTTATTTCTGGGACATCCTGTATAATAGCTCAAACATCACCTCATTAATGTAAATTTGATTTTCACCGAAATTTACCTATACTTGGGGAATACAGTAATTTAGTACATCTGGTATTGCTTCAGATACCAGGCGTGCTACACGGTATATGTAGCTTTAGAATACAAAACGAGCTTTTGATCGGTTCAGTAGCGTAACAAAAATGCATTTTTGTAGACTAAAATTTTACTTAAATTTAAGTAAAATTTCTGAAGTTTTTTAGCATGTGTATTTAAAAAACTATTTACGACTTAGTTGTAAAATTAATAGGGGAGCCAATATGTCGACAGTTCAAAATTTGCACGCATGGGATTTCCCATGTTTCCAACAGCGATGTAGAATGTAGAATGTTTAGGAGGGGAGTTAATCACTGCGACCTTATAGATCTACTGTGTGTTCCCCTTTCTTGAGTTATAACGAGTTATAACTCATCATACAGTCTCAGGGCTTTAAGAAAAGCCAGTATCTGAGACGGCTCCACAGAGGCACCAAGGTTCATGGCACGTACCTCCACAGAGACGTACCAAGGTTCATGGCACGAATGGTCGTCGTCTCGGCGCACTCAGTGATAAGGTGTTCTGGTGCTTCCCCATTTTCCCCACAAAATCTGCATTCGCCGTTGTTTCTCAGTTTCAGCCTACTGAGGTGTTCGTTGAGGAGACCTGTTAGAAACCCCGTGACAATCCGAAGATTGTTTTTACTTAAATCAAGGAAACCCTTTTATTTTTCTCGGTCATAAGTTCTAAGGAACTTTTTCAAGTGTCTTAGACCGTTGGAGGACACCCATTCCAAGTTACGGATGGAGTCTTCCAGATTCTTCAGTTCCGCTTTCAGTTGGTTCCCGTTTGGAAAACAGAACGGTTCTGGTCCAGTTAGTGGAGTGTTCGCTCCTTTTCTAGCTAGATCATTTGCTTTTTCATTGCCTTCTATCCCTTGGTGAGCAGGCACCCAGAGTAAGAGGACTTTATTTTCTTTACCTAATTTGTTGAGCTTCTCTAGGCATTCTTTGACCAACATCGAATTGATGGTTACTGAGTTGATCGCGTTAAGTGCTGCTTGACTATCGGATAGGATGGCAATTTCCTGTTTTCGATAGTTCCTATCTAAGATAAATTGTACGCATCTTTCGATAGCGCAAATTTCAGCCTGAAGGATACTGGGGTAGGTGCCCATTGGTTCGGAGTATTCAGTTTTCGGCCCAAATACTCCTATCCCTGTCCCTGCTTTGGTTTTGGAGGCATCAGTATACCACGTAATGGTATGGTCTTTTATATGCTGAGTAAGCGTTTCTTTCTTCCAATCCTTTTTATTACTCAATACTACAGTGAGGTGTTTCTCAAAGTTGTAAATTATTGGTATGTCATCCACTGGGAGTTGGAGAAGTGGAATTTTCTTTTTGAGGGTGTTCCAAGCCCCTGACCTGAATATTCTCCCAGTACTGTTTCCGTCAGTAACCATTCTAATCATTGTCGCATTGGCATAACTACCGACGACAATGTGCAGTGGTGTTAGGTCTAGAATGACCTCCATTGCTGCTGTTGGACATGTTCTCATGGCACCTGTGATGCAGATACATGCCAGTTTCTGTACTTTGCACAGGTTTTGCCTTGCTGTACGTTGCTCTAGTTTTGTATACCAAGCAACTGCTCCATAAGTAATCATGGGTCTTACTATCATGCTATACATCCAGCGCAAAATGTTAGGGGCGCAGCCCCACCTATTTCCCGCCAGTCTTCTGCATATCATGAGAGCCTTTGTGGCTTTGCTGGTAATGTTCTTAATATGCCTGTTCCAGAGAAGTTGCCATTATCCAGGGTTATTCCCAGATATTTCACTTCCTGTGATGGCAGTATTTCCTTTCCATCTAGATGGATTCTTTTCAAGTTTTTCAAACTTCGCTTTCTGGTGAATGGCACTACTGCGGTTTTATCTGAGTTAATACTCAGCCCGACAGTCCTGCACCATCTCTCAGCGATGCGGAGTCCTCTTTGGATAATAGCACACAGGGTGCCTTCATGTTTCCCCCCTGCAATGATGACTATGTCATCTGCGTACCCTATGCAGTGTATTCCCGCTAGAGTTAATTCTTCCAGCAGCGATGCCTCACCCTGTATATTTCTGTACATTGTATGTACAAAGTTTTGCTAATACAGACCAATAAATGTCAACTGAAAATAATATCAAACATTGTGCCGATAAGACTATCAATCGCCGATTTGTAGTTTCCGTTTCCTATACAGAAATTCGATATCAACCGATGATTAGCTCGCTTGACGTTCAATGGCTCTTCGGTTAATTGATTAGGAATTATTATAGCTGAAAAGCTTTTGATAAAATTGTTACAAAGTTACAAAGCTTATCGGTCTTTTACGCGCATAATCGTGCTGCTTACAGTGCAACAAATACTATGTAATGCCAATTGGTGATACCATAATAAAAGCCAGTATAGTAGAGTCTGGATTATTTGAGTATACCGGGTGCGTCTCGGAAGTGGCTCACCCCCAATAACTTTTTTTATTTTTTCAGATAGAAAAAACGAAATTTGATATGTTTGTATATGACATAAATTAGGATTGATTGAAGTACATATTCAGTTCTTTTCGGCCACTTCTTGTTTTACCAGAAATGACTTTTGATTTTTAAATGGAACCCTCGGTATTTCTTTACTTTACTCGATAGAAAATGAGACTCTGAATATAATGACATATCATATGTCAACTTTTGACATTTTCGCTCAAAAACAAAATCGTATTTTAAATTTCAATCTAGAGTGCCATGACTGTGTTAAAAACACTAATTTTTAATTAAGGCGCATTGGAAAAATAGTTTTGATCGTCTAATGTGTTTAGTGTCTTGTCCTGGCCGGTTAAAAGATGCCCAAATCCTATTTTTAATCATAAAGATAATATCTCAATTTTTTCAAACGGAACGAGGGTGGCTCATTAGCATATTTGGAAACAGCATTTTTTTAACAATAATTTGGAACCACACACTTGGTATTTCGAGTCAAATTGTCGTTATGAATCGCATATGATATGTCATTCTATTCAGAGTGTCATTTTCTATCGAATAAAGTAATAAAATAGGGAGGGTGCCATTTAAAAATCAAAAGTTATAGTCATTTCTGGTGAAATAATAAATACTTACTTATTAACCTTTTATTATAGGTAAATTAAATAACAATAACCTGTTATAAATTTAAATAAAGTCCATAAACTAATGTCGATTTTGAAAATAGCTACCAAATGTCACTAGAAAATTGCCATGGCGACACTATACAGCCATCTTGATTACAATTTGAAAAATCGCTTTTTATTAAAATAGACCAGCAATTCTTTATACCCCTGTATACATTTAAGGGAGCAATGTAATTTTTTAGTAATGTGCGGTTTTTAGTAAAGCTTGAAAGTCAGCACAAGAATTAATTCTGAAAAGTAATGTACAATGTGTTGACAAACTTTTTTATTATAGCATGCATATTTAAATATCTTTAAATATCTCAAAAACCAAAGCTTTTAAACCTATTAAACCCTCATAATAAATGCCTTATTTTATGTCCAAGAATCCAAAAATGAAATAAAATACCGGGTGTTCCATTAGAAAAAATATAACTTTGGTATGGATCTTAGTTCTGACACACCTTGTACATTTGAAAATAAATTTAAATTATGCACATTGCCTTCCCACATATACACATATACATAAAATATTTTGTTTCTACATCTTTCCGTTTTCGTATAATCAACCGAGGCGACTGAGGTGCGCCACCCTGTATATGAGTCTATGATCATTTTAGTCCCTCATCGATCTTCATTTTTTCTTAATATTTTTATTCCAACTCTAAAACA